TTCTCTTCTCTCTTTTTTCTTCTCTCCATGTTAGCAGAGAGAGAGATTTGGGCATTTGTACATTCATTCAACAAATACTTCAAGCAGCTACTATATATCAAGCATTTTTCTGGATTCTGAAAATACGAAGGTCAAGAAAAATTGGCTCTGCAATAAGGAAAGGGTATTTAAAAATATCTGGTGATTTGCTCCTAGTTTCACTCTGCTAAAAGCAAAGAAACTAAGTAAACTAAAACAGGTCAGACATCTTCATTATCTCATCCTCCAAGACAGAAGGAGTAACAATGGAAAGTGATACTTGGTACCTAACTCTGCCCAGTCAGAACTGAATGGAGATAGGGACTAGCAAAAGTGAAAGCATCATCTTAAAGTTCAGGAGGCAAAATTCCCTGGCAGGAAGATAAGCATCCTTTGGCTATTCACCCCCAGGCTATAGAGAAAAGCCAATTTAAAAAAAAAGGAAGAGAGACTATTGGTCAGACTCTAAGGGGAAGGTTCACAGAAGGCTGTCAAAGGTGAAGTTCAAGTACCGTGATAGCAAAAGAACCTGTTGAAAAATAAAGAGAGGGAATGTCTATAGAAAAAGGAGCAGCCACATGGGGATCCTGGCTGATGAGCTTGGTTAGTAAGATACCTACAATAGTCTGCAAGCTCCTATACACAGAGTTTCCAGAAGAACTCTAAAACCCAGAAGGATCTGGGACTGAGATTTTATAAAGATGACCTCCAAAGCCCTGTCCCTACCATTACTACCAAAATTATTTTAAGATTCCTATTCAGAAAAAGTAAAAGCTATGCACACTATTTGATTGCTTTGCTGTCCTCTTCTTGACCCTAGGGAATCACTGTGAGAAGCACTATGAAGTTTTTAGCCCAAGCCCTCAAGTCAGGAAAACCTGATTTCAAATTCTAACTCTGCAATCAATTGGCTGGCTTTCCTGGGATTCTTATATAACCTTTGCCAGGCTGTTACAAGATTTCATAAGATAGTTTATGTAAAATGTTTAACAGAGTGCTCTGGACATGGGAAGCCCTCAATAACAGTACCAGTTTTGGGTTTTTTGGTTTTTTGTTTTTTTTAAGAGAGAGAGAGAGAGACAGACAGAGAGAGAGAGAGAGAGAGAGAGAGAGAGAGAGAGAGAGAATTTTTTTTAATATTTATTTTTTAGTTTTCAGCGGACACAACATCTTTATTTTTGTATGTGGTGCTGAGGATCAAACCCAGCACCGTGCGCATGCCAGGCGAGCGCGCTACCGCTTGAGCCATATCCCCAGCCCCCAGTTTTATTTTATTTTTGTTACTCTTTTTGTTAAACTGGAAAGGGCAGTAACTATTGATCTGGTGGATGAAAAAGTTGTCAAAGGTGAAAAAGTTGTCTATGGACCCTTGGCTAATCTAGAAGCATTTAATCAAGTTCAGCAGATAGCAATTACAGCTGATCAAGATAATAATAATTATCAAGAACTATGTGCCAGAACATGAAAATTTAACTAACACTCTTGAAATAGAACAGAGATTGGGAGAGAAACTGAACCCTGATAACATTAACAATCCAGCCATGACAGAGACTGAGTCCCTTTTGGCTGTTGTTTTGGTTTTGTTTGGTTCTGGTTTTATCTGACTTTTTGTTTTGGGGCTTCTGGGGATCAAACCCAGGTCCTCTTGCATATTAGGCAAGCACTCTGCCTCTGAACTACATCCTTATCCCTGTTTTGTTTTGTTTTTGTGGTATTAGGGATTGAATCCAATAGGTTCTACCTCTGAGGTACATCCCCAGCCCTTTTTAATTTTAAATTTGAGACAGAGGCTCACTAAGCTGCCCATTCAGGCCTTGAATCGAAGATCTTCCAGCTGTAGCCTCTGGAACGGCTGGGATTACAGGCATGCACCATGGCACAGAGGTTGGGTTTAGTTTTTACGTAAGCTAGTACATTTTTATTTCCCACCCCCTTGGGCCTAAGCCACTCTGAGTTGGGTTTCTGCCACCTGATTAAAACAAATGGTTTGTTACTCCTAGGAAAGAGAAAGAGATCACTTGAAGTTAGCACTTAAAAAAAAAGTCATTCCGGAGTAGCCTCATTCCCTTATTGAAAACTGACTACATTAGTAGACCAAAGGAATGCTGTATTCTAGAGTATCTGGCCCAGTAAGGTGTTGTCATTCTCTTGTGACATCCTTAAAAATAAGGAATAAGATGCTGTGATGGAGGCTGGGGGCAAGGGTGGTGATAGGACAGTAATATGCACTAAAAACTGATAAAACTACTAAATGCAAAGGGCGCTGATCAGTGCCAACCTCTAGGCTCTGCCCTGTTTTATTAAGCCCATCCATTCATTCTTAGTGCCTTCCACCCCCAAGACCAGCTGAGTCTATACTCTCGCCACCTTCTTGAGGCCTAGTACAGCTGTGTCCTGACTGAATGCACACTCCAGTTCCTCTGACTCCTGATCAACACTTTGGTGGTCAAGTTTTTAATTTTAGCCACCCTAATAGATAAGAAGCAATCTCTCACTGTGGATTTTATGCACTTTTCCTTAACGTTTAATTATCTTGAGTATCTTTTCAAGTGCTTATTGCCACCCATATATATTCTTTGGACATTTGAAAATTTTTGTTGGAATTAAGAAAGAGGCTCTTGCTTATTATGTAACTAGACAAACCATACAGAAAGGCATAAGAAAGAATTCCCAGTCACCCACTGCTAACCCCCAACCCATAACATAGGTATCCCAAAGTTCAAAAGAATCACCAGGAGCACTAATAAAGCATGCAAATTATTGCCCCCACTCTTGAAGATCCTGATTCAGTGGTTTGGGTGGGGCATTTTTAACAAACCCGTAGGTGATTCTGTATAAAAGGTCTATAAATCATTTCTTGAGAAATTCTGCTCTTAACATTGTTCTACAAGGAATAAAGGGGGCAATTATGGAGAGGAACATCTGCACCACTGCCTTCAAGTAAGGCAGAGGCTTTGCCTGAAATGGGAAGCATATTTGCTCTGTATTGGCCTATGGAATATTTAATGTTTGGAACCTAAAGGTCAAATTAGAAAAAAATGCTAATTTTTTTTGAAACTACTGTAAAACAAAATCAGACCCTAGAGCCAGAAAGTAAGGAATATACCAGATTATGAAGAAAAAGGGCTTGAAGAAAAAGGGCTCCTCTGGGTTGAAAAATGACTGGGAGTGAGGTAGAAAAAGGGTAAGAGATACCCGCCCCCCCACACACATACACACACACATTCTGTCTCTCCTGGAGGAAAAACTTCTTTTTATAAATACATGGAGAGGAATGTAACCCACCAGACAGGTGGTATGTGCCTTAACCCAAATTAAATAGCAGCTATTTACCCATACCCACATTTTTCTGGCTCTATTAGGAAAGCCTAAAAAGGTAGAGAAAGGAGACAACACAATATTTTTAAAGAACAGTTCCTTTTATAGATAAGAAGCCTGCCCAGGCCCTGTCCTCACAATTTTGGATCCACAGATTTAAAGTTCTTAAGAAGGTCAATAAACAAGCATGAGGCTTTGGACAATCAAGCTCAACAAGTGCCACTTTGCTTCTGTGACAGCACCCAAAGATACATCCCCTCCCCATTAGTTAAATAAAAAGCCATTTATCTGATTTAGAGCAGAATGAACCAAGGCACTGTTTGCCACAGTAATCTGCTGATCCAAGCGGGATATGAGCCAGCTGCCAGCAACTCCTGTACTCTGGCAGGAACTCAGTGAGCCTCCATTGCTGGGCAAGACCGGGTGTTGCCAGGTCCCAGCTTAAAAACAAACCATATGGTGTAGTGGAGCAAGTAAACAGTCCTTGTTGGAATATCTGGTAGTTTCTACTTTCAGCATTTGACCTTGGGTCAAATATCAAGTGAAATGCTTCACTGCACTCTTATTTAGGATACTATTACCAGGGTATGTGCTTTTGTTTGCAAATCATAATAGGGTTGACTTTATATTTTCATGCTTACAATTTTATTTTATCTCATATGCAGTCCAATTTCTTCCAGTCCAGTTTCTTTCCTTTCCGACTGGCACAGCTGTGATTGACTGGGCCATGTGCCTCAACTCTTCTGTAAAGTATCAACTACTGTCAGGCATCAGGACTTACTCTCATTCTTAAATTTGATAATAACCTGGAGGGCAATGCAATCTTATTTCCATTATACAAATAAAGCTGAACCTGCAAAGGTTAAACTACTCATCCCAGATCACATTTCTAGCAGAGTCTAGACGCTGTCTGGACTTAAAAGCTGCTTCTCCACCGACTGCCTTTCTATAATAAAGCAAATAAACTGATCTGCGTCGTCAGTAGGCAGTCATTCCTTATAGTAGGCATTCCTGTTAAACCTGAAACTGCGCAAAGTTATATGTGAACTACTCTGTGGTGAGTGGACACCTACTTCTAAGGGGTCAGTGAATTCCAGAAGGATAAGAACCAGTATCTGAGCAGGCTATCTGCTTCTCCATTCCCATCTAATTTACAACAAGCAGACCTTCTGGCTTGTAATACCAGTTTGGACACTAGTTTTGTGAGTGTCCTTGGCCAACTCACCTCACCTTATGGAACACAGATTTGCGTTCTCTTTTTCCTGGCCTCGATTGTCTATTCGTAATCATAGCTTCTTGGCAAAGGTTCTTTACCATTGTTTGTATGTTTCCATTGTTTTAATGCATGGTTTCTTATTAAAATCCACCTCACATTCTACATGGCAGCAGGCAGAGATAAACAAGTAATAATTATTTTGTACCAACCCTGCTTAGCTCTCTGGGCTTCACTTTCCCACGTATAAAACGACTCAATTGGGCCACCATGGATCAGGTGGCTTGTATCCCTGTAAGACTCAAGACACAAAGCTACGGAGCAAGCAAGCTGGAACCTGGAAGTTAACCGCATCCTGCCTTTCTGTCCCTGACTTCCCTTTTTTGATCTACCCAGCAGCTGTTTCCCACACCCCTCCCGGCCCCATCCTGCCCGGGTCGGGCACACTCACCGAGCGCACGCGCAAGGTGCCCGCCTGCGTCCACTCCAACACCAGCTGCGCCTGCCAGGTGACAGCGCAGCGGGGCGCTACCGGCGCGCCCGCAGCTCCCAGCACCCACTCGACTCTGAGCAGCCGGGTACGCGGCGCACCAGTCTAGGGCACGGCGACCGCGGTTCTGCTCACGCTGCTGCGTGCGTGCGTGCGCCGCGCGGGAGAGGCAGGCCCCCAGTCCTTGTTTTTCGGGAGTCAGGTTGTTTGCCCCGCTGCTGCTTGAGTCATCCACTGTCCGAGTGGCCCAGTGGCTGCTGCAACAGCCATGAACTGGCCTGCACCTGGCGCAAAGCGTTGCAGGCAGGGTTTAGAGCCCCACCCGCGGAAGACTCACCCACCTGCGCTTTCATTCAGCTGCCTTCTCCTTGCCGGGCTCTTCACCTCATAAACGGGGCGGGTTGGGGGGGGGGGGACGAGGGGGCAGCACTTAGACCACCCGGTGGGAATGCTGATAGGCGCTGGATTAATGTGCGCTTATCCAGATCACTAAATTCTAGGGCTGGGCCCCGATTGAATTCTCTTGGCTGCGGAGGATCCTTGGGTTCTTGCCCCAGCTTTCCTGGGGACTCCCTACACCACCTCAGGCAAATCAGCCAACTGCCTCTCTGTGACAGGGTGTTAGTCCATTCTCTCACTCCTCTGTCAGAGAGACTGTCAGTGAGACCCCGCAGGGAACAAAACAGACAAGTCCCCACCTTGTTGGGCTCCCAGACATTAAACACACAATTGAAGATGATCATTGATGTGAAGCATATGGAAAGGTTCCTATCAGCCAACCTTATCTTGTTTGTGAGGTCAGGAATGGACTATATTAACCTTTCTAATATTTGCAGCTCTTTTATTCTTATTCTCACCATTAAAGCTTTTTGTTTATTGTCACTAATGATAGTGGTATTAGTATTGCTTACAAAGAGCCATTTTACTTCTATTGTCTGGTTCATAGCTTCTCTAAGAGATGGGTATTACTATTTTCACTTCATTTTTAATTTTTAGTATTGGGGATTGTACTTGGAGATGCTTTGCCATTGAGCTACATCCAAAGCTCTTTTAAACATTTTATTTATTTGTTGGAGGTGGGTACTGGGGATTGAACCTAGAGGCACTCTACCACTAAGCTACACCCCCAGCCATTTTTTTTTTGGGGGGGGGGTGGCGGTACCGGGAATTGAACTCCGGGGCACTCTACCAATATGCCACATCCCAGCCCTGTTTTGTATTTTATTTAGAGACAGGGTCTCACTGAGTTGCTTAGTGCCTCGCTTTTGCTGAGGCTGGCTTTGAACTCACAATCCTCCTGCCTCAGTCTCCCAAGACGCTAGAATTATAGGCATGCCCTTGCTTTATTTTTTTATTTTGAGACAGCATCTCTTTGGCTGGAATTTTTGATCTTCCTGCCTCAGCCTCCCTCCTCGCTGAGATTGCAGATGTGTGCCACACCACCTATTCTCATTTTAGAGAGAGACTCAGGCATAGTGGCCCACCCCTGTAACCCCAGCGACCTGGGGAGACTGAGGCAGGAGAATCACAAGTCCAAAGCCAGCCTCAGCAAATTAGCCAGACCCAAAGCAATTTAGTGAGACCTCGCTTCAAAATAATTTTTTTTTTAAAAGGCTGGGGTTGTGGTCAGTGGTTAAGCATCCCTGGATACAATCCCCAATACCCAAGGGGGGCGGGGGTGGGCCTAAAGAAAACTAACTTGCCCGTTGCCGCACAACTACAAAAGATCAGGACCAGTATTCAAGTTCAGACTAGGGCCTCAGGGTGCTTAACCACTACCCTACATCCATAAAAATATAAAAGACCAGAATAGTGTCCTATCTTGAATATGACAGATGAGAGCAACCGAGGGAGGTGGTTTTGACTATAGAAGAAAAAAGTAAGGGAAGTTGAAAGTCTTTTTAAGGAGTAGTCCTATTGATTAGACTAACTGTGCATGAATTACAGAGGTCACCAGGCTAGGGAAAGCTAGAGTGGGAACATTGCAATTCCGTATAGGGGGAAAATTTTTTCTAAAATGACATCACTTGCCTGGAGAGAGTATGTATTCTACAAAAAGGAAGCACTCAAGCAGAAAGGTTTATTGGTGATGCTTCAGATATGGGTTTAGGTAATGTCTGGGGGTCCTTCCAACTCTGCTATTTTATATAGTGTAAAATGTTACCAGGAAAAATGAGTCCTAGAGTGGTTAAGTGGTTTGTCCAAAGTCACCCATGAAGTAAAGAATTGAGGTAATCTGATTCCTTGATCAGCCTCTCTTGAGTCTTTGGGAGTGAGGGTCTTGGGAATGCTCAACTCTTCCTTCATGCTCCCATAAAGCACGTGTGTGTCCGCCCAGTTTTTCCTGGGTCTGTGGAATCATCTGCTTTACATGCTTTACTTCATCTTATTTGTGTTTTCAAATACAGTGTCAACACTCCCTGGGCAATTGCTGTCCCAAGTGTATATTTGATAATATAAGAAGAATTAAGCTAGATACAATTTCATTTGAAACTAATGTTTCTTTGATTCTATTTTAGGACTCTGAGATATTTTGAGGGAAACTTCTAATGTACTGGCACTAATTCCTCCATCTCTCATCCTAGTCACAAATATTTTGATGAGCAGCAATCTACTTGTCAACTTCAAAAAAGGCATTATTTTCTTAATCCTTGGGAAAGCTACCTTTTTTTATGCATACTTTGTTTTTTGGGGGTTTTTTTAAGTACTTTTAGAAAAGTTCTTCTCTAAAACAGGAATCCAGGTGCCTTTTGGGATTGATTTCTGGAACATTGGAATCACTTTGTCCCTAGTGGCACTAACCCAAAGATAAAAAAAAAAAAAGTGCCCCTCTTCACCACAATGTATTAGAAAAGAAAGAAAGAAAGAAAGAAAGAAAGAAAGAAAGAAAGAAAGAAAGAAAGAAAGAAAGAAAGAAAGAAAATAAATACATTTGTCTGGCTCAAAATTCAGAAGTATAATGTCAAAGCTGAGTGCAGGAGCACATGCCTGTAATCCCAGCAACTCAGAAGGCTGAGGTGGGAGGATTGCAAGTTCAAGGTCAACCTAAGTAACTTAGCAAGACCCTGTCTTGAAATAAAAAATTTAAGAGGACTGGGGATGTAACTCAGTGGTAGAGCAACCCTGGATTCAATTCCTAATACTGAAAATAAATAAACAAATAACAAAAGTATTCTGTCAAGGTTATGGCTTATTGACCTTTTGATTCCTCTCAGTGCTTGGCATAATGCCTCATACATAGTAGGTGCTAAATAAGTGTTTCTATCTCTCGACTTTTGACTGATGGCAGGATGACATCAGACTTTCAAGCCCCCACTACACATGACAAATCTAGGTCACTTTGGCCTATGCTGATGGATTCTCATTGGAACTTGTTCTTACAGAACAAGTAAGGGAAATGATCCTTACCTCCCCGAGTTCTGGGATCTGGTCTTTTCAAGTGTCACAGAAGTCCCCACTGAAGGGTAACTTGTGTTCTTCTTATTGGCATTTTGGACCTGTTTTTCTCCTACAGACAACAAGTTGTTTGCTGAGGAATAGTCAATCATACCTGATTGATTTAAGGCAGGTAGAGCTGCAGATAAATTGCTTTTTAAAAGAAAGCTTGTGGGGGGAAAATTGAGTCCTGGGGTGGTTAAGTAGTTTGTCCAAAGTCATCCATGAAGTAAAGAACTGATGTAATCTGGGGTTGTAGCTCAGTGGCAGAATGTTTGCCTGGCATGTGTGAGGCATTGGGCTTGATTCTCGGCATCACATATGAACAAATAAATAAAATAAAGGTCCATTGACAACCAAAAAAATATAGAAGGAGGAGGAGGAGGAGGAGGAGGAGGAGGAGGAGGAGGAGGAGGAGAAAGCAAGCAAGCACATGGGGATCAGCACAGTGAGCCCACTTTATAGAATTATTCCCTTAACTTTGTGGTCCCACTGCGCACGTGTTACCTATAAACAAGGATGTAGACTCTTCCCTTTTGCTTGCAAATGTTAGATGGGTAGCTAAAAGCAGGATTAAAGACTTGGCATCTCTGCCTCTATTTTGCATTCATTTTCTCTGTCCCAAGTCACCTTGGATTCCAGGAACAAGGTCTGGCCTGATGAACATCATGTGATGAGTTGTAGCTACCCCCAGAAACAGCAACTTTCTTATCCCAGACAAGGTCCAGCCTGACCCCTCCTGGGGTGATGATGAACCAGACCACACCTGATCAAAATCACCTGCTTGGGCAGCCACAAAAATCCTTCAGCTATACAAACCCCCAAAAGCTCCCCTCATTCCCCTTTCTATTAAACCCCAAAGTTTTTATCAGCCCCTCAAAGATAATGTCAAGGATGGGTCCCCTTGTCTTCCTAGTGTAACCACACTGATTAACGTTCCTTTCATGCTTGTCACCATTGCCATTTCAGTTTGGATTTTGGGAAGAGTGGCTGGACCTGATTGGATTCTCAGAGTCAGGCCTCTGGCCTAGCACTCCACCACTGAAATTCATTAAAATTGACTGGATGAATTTTACACATCACCTGCTTCTCTCCAGAATCACAATCCAGAGTGAATTGGCTGATTAACCACACTGGAGTCATAAGCAGTCAGCAGCCAGAGAAAACTGATACCAGAGCCTTTTGGTTTTCATGAAGGAGATCCAGGCTAGCCTGTTCCTCAGGTGCCTCAAACATACAAAGGTAATCTGGAGATTGGGCAACAAGGAAAATGATAATAATTTGTAGGCCAAAATTTGAAAGAATGAAAGGGTATAATCTGCATAAAGTGCATAATATAGCAACTGAGCTGCATTCTCAAAACCTGAGATACATATACTTGTTACTCAACCTTTTCAATTTTTAGCTAATTGTCTGTGGAATGTAGCTCAGTGTCAGGGCACTTGTGCCCTGGGTGCAAGACTTAGCACACTCGTATGCCCTTGTGCATGCACATGCGTGCATGCATACGCGCGCGCGCACACACACACACACACACACACAATTAAACTATCAGAGGACTTCTTTACAACAGTAATACTTTCCTCCCATGATTTTTTTTTCTTTCTCATTGGAGTCATTTGCAATTACAAAACCAAGCAAAGGGAAAATTGAGATAAAATATAAGTTGTGTCAGATGTATACTTAACATCACAGTAGGAGTGAAAGAGTCCCTTTAAAATTAAAAGCAGCTAAAAAAATTAAAAGCAGCTTACTGAAAACTGCTTTTCTACATTTGGAGTTTTCTCATGCTGAGAATGGAAACTGAAAAGCTACCCTGTGACCCAGG